ATTCCATAACTGGAAGCCTGTATCTTTTTTTTAAAAATTTTTTTAGCATTTATTCATTTTTGAGAGATAGAGTTTGAGTGGGGGGGGGAGGGTCAGAGAGACAGAATGAGCCACAGAATCCAAAGCAGGCTTCAGGCTCTGAGCTGTCAGCACAGACCCTGACCCAGGGCTCGAACTCACAGACCGTGAGATCATGACCTGAGCCAAAGTTGGATGCTTAGCCCACTGAGCCACCCAGGTGCCCCTGGAAGCCTGTATCTTCCACTTTCCTTCACCCATTTTGCCTATCCCCACTGTCCCTCTGGCAACCATCAGTTTGTTCTCTATACCTGCTTTTTGCTTGTTTATTCATTTGTTTTGTTTTTAATTGTTTGTGTTTAATTCCACATGTAAGTAAAACCATATGGTATTTGTCTTTGTCTGACTTATTTCACTTAGTATAATACCCTTGAAGTCCATCCATGTTGTCTCAAATAGGAAGACCTCACAATGTTTTAATGGCTGAGTAATAGTCCATTGTATGAATATACTACATTTTCTTTACCCATTCATCTAAGATTGGACAGTTGGGTTGCTTCCATATCTTGGCTATTGTGAATAATGCTACAGCCAACACAGGGTGCATATATCTTTTTGAATGAATGTTTTCACTTTCTTTGGGTACTCCTCAGTGGAATTACTGGATCATATGGTATTTCTACTGTTAACTTTTTGAGGAACTTCCATACTGTTTTCCACAATGGCTGTACCATTTTAATTCCCACCAACAGTGCACAATGGCTGTACCAATTTACATTCCCACCAATGGTACATTTTTCTCCACATTTTGGCCAACACTTGCTATTTCTTGTCTTTTTGATTCTAGCCATTCTGGCAGGTATAAGGTGATATCTTACTGCGGTTTTGCTTTGCATTTCCGTGATGATTAGTGACACTGAGCATCTTTTCCTATGTCTGTTGCCTCTCTGGATGTCTTCTTTGGAAAAATGTGTATTCAGGTTGACTGCCCATTTTTAATCAGATTATTTGTTTTTTTGTATAACTTCTTTATATATTTTGGATATTAATCCCTTATCAAATATATCATTTGCAAATGTCTTCTTCCATTTAGTAGGTTGCCTTTTTGTTTTGTTGATGGTTTCCTTCACTGTGCAAATGCTTTTTATTTTGATGTAATCCCAATAGTTTATTTTTGCTTTTGTTTCCCTTGCCTTAGGAGACATAAAATGTTGCTGTGGCTGATGTCAGGGAAATTACCTGTGTTCTCTTCTACGAGTTTTATGGTTTCAGGTTGCACAATTAGTAGACCACAAACTTTTAAAAGCAATCACTTTTTAAAGTCCCAGCACTTAGTGTAGTGCATGGTAAGTTGAAGGTGACTGTTCAATGTTAGTTGAATAATACAGTGAATAAATGAATTGAACCAGGCTTTTGATGACAGCAAGTATCAAAATAACAGTGAGCTCAAAATTATACTTCCTAAGAAGTACCTGAAATAGAGTTTGCACAGTTAGCCAGGTAAGTGTCAAGCCACAATTTTTCACAATCAGCCGAACTAGTGAAGGACAGGGAACTTTTAATGATATCGGAGGAGCTTTCCAACTCACCCAACAGAGTGGGTCAAGGGAGGAGTTGAAGGCCATTTCAGGGGTTTTCATAAAACAAGAACAACAAAGCAATTTTGGTTACTCTAATACATGGATGAATGTCAAGGCAGTATAATTTTAATTGCCAAGAGACCACTGGTTTTATAATCATTATATCCTAAAATAAAATTATAGCCTAAGAGAAAATCCTAAAAGAAAAAGGGTGGGGTGCCTGGGTGGCTCAGTCGGTTAAGCCTCTGACTTCGGCTTATGTCATGATCTCGCTGTTTGCGAGTTTGAGCCCTGGGTCAGGCTCCGTGCTGATAGCTTGGAGACTGGAGCCTGCTTCAGATTCTGTGTGTCCCTCTCTCTGTTCCTCCCCCACTCGCACACTGTCTCTCTCTCAAAAATAAATGAAGATTTAAAAAAATTTAAAAAAAAGAAAAGAAAAGAAAAAGAGCTACCAGCATTTTACTTATAGAATAAGGTCATTATAAAAATTGATTCTACTATTACCATGAATACATTAAAAAAAACTCAAAAGGAAATCCTGTGAATGAAACATATTTAGCTTTAGGAAAAATTCACTCTATTGTGTATTACTATCATTTTGCTGGGACCCAGTGACATTAATTTGAGGAATTGGCAGTGGAAGTTGGGAATACCTTCAATAACCTGTAAAAGAAGTGAGCTCAGAGAAGCACACCATCACTGACCAGAGTGGTTTGGGGGAGAAGCCGTCTGTAGGAGAGGAAAGTCTGGATCTTGTAAGGTCCAGAAGGTGAACAATACAGCCTTGCAACCTGCCACTTGAGGAAATTTTCTCCAGTGAAATGTCCAAAAGCAAATCAATGGTATAGTAGTTATATCCATTCCTCAAAGGTTGTTACTTGAACTAAGCATTTTCAGTTTGTAAATACAAGGTTGGCCTATATTTATTTGGTGTTTATACTGTATGTCCATTTGGAAATGATCCCTTGCAATCCTGAGTGGCGATTTTTTCTCTCTAACGTGATCAGTCTCCATTCTCAGAAGGAGAGTTCACCCCTCAAAGGAGAGAAAAAAGGCAAGAGTAGTGAATGGGGGAGCTTTCACCCTGTAATTTAGACATAAAAACTCTGTCTCAGTTTGTCAGTGGATGGAAGTCATTGATATGGACCTTGAAGCTTTGGTTTCTCTGAGGAGAAAAACATAAACTTTCCTTAAAATAGTTCGGACAAGAGGAAAGAACCCTGCTGTCAACATTCCTAATTTCTCTGGGTCTCTTTGGGCATTGATTTGAATGGGAAATATCTAAATGGGTGAAATACGCTCTTCTTTAATTAAATTAGGTTGACACAAATGAGCAGCTGAGACGAATAGCCCAAATGAGGATTGTTGAATACGACTACAAACCAGAGTTTGCATCTTCAATGGGAATAAACACTGCCCATCAAACAGGTATGCACACAAATTCCCTTTTTAATTTTGTGTTGTCAACTCTTAAAAGTTCAATTCCCTCTTTGTGTGGAGATTGTGTGCTATGGCATTGATTTCCTCTGTGAAATCCGTAATCACTAGAACAGGAAAGGTGAGAGAAATTTCTGTGTCATCTTGACTCAACACCCCCATCCCTACTCCTACACTCCAAGGTACTGGCAGAACATTTTGAATACATTGTTTCTTTTCACTGGAATCATCTTGCTCGGAGCTGGGGGGCAGATCACAGCTCCAGCTGTAAAAGGCAGACCTGGGAGAGGGAGAGGTGTGGAATAGGTCAGTCTAGGTCAGAGAAGAGGCATAGTGGTGTTTGTACTCCGATCCAGGAATCCTAGACAAAGAGGGACCATTTAGGTGGCAAATCCTCTTGCAAGAAAAGAAAGGAAATCAAGCTAACGCCCCACCCTTACTTCTATATACAGGGATTTGAAGGTATTTACTCCCTCCTTCCAAAATCCGGCCCAGAGTCTCAAGGAAAAGTCAAGAAAATGACACCCCTGCTTTTAATCCTATGGTGGTTATGGGCTCAAAATTCCTTCTTTGCTTCAAATGTATCCTAGATCAAAGCGAAAGCTGTGAGGGGATAAGCATGTATTTGCAAAGATGTCCTGGAGGGGGCTGTCAGCCTTCCATTTTGTTGTAGGCTAGGGAGGATGTTCTCCAGAAAGGTCTTTTCCTCACTAAACCTGTTGGGAGTGTTTGTGTCTAGGAATGATCGCCCAGGAGGTACGAGAGATCCTGCCCAGAGCTGTAAAAGAGGTCGGTAATGTCACCTGTGAAAATGGGGAGACGCTGGAGAACTTCCTCATGGTCGATAAGGTAACCACTGAGTAGGTCTGCCATTGGAGCTGTGACCCCATGGTGAACCCCTTTCTGTGGTACCACATGCACTGAAACTTCCAACCAGGAAACAAGACAGTAAAAAGAAAGCCTCACTCAGCTGTGGAGTAATTGGTATCAGTTAGGCTAAGCTGTTCAGAGGTACCAAGAAGAAGCCCCGTAAGGCAAAAAAGAAAAAGGAATATGTAACAGTGACAGTAGAGTGGAGCAGGTCTTAACTGTCGGAGAAAAACTGGCCTGGGGAAAGTCCACTTAACAGGAGCACAACTAAAATGTGACCCAATGTCATGTGAAATAGTGACAGCAAGATTTGATCAGCCTTGTCTTAGAAAATGGAACTCAAACTTGAGGAAGTGTAATTTATCTCATCTAATATACTTTAGGTTGTCATTAGGATCAAATAATTAAATTCTTAGCCTGATTAAAGGCTGAATGGAGTGTTGATTTTTCTTTTCAAGCATAGTTTTTCAACAAAGTTGTATGTTCCATTTTCATAACACATAAAGTGGGTCAGATATTCATGAGCCTCATCGTTTTTTCCCAAGGGCCCATCTGAATTCTTTGATATTCAAATCATTCTCTTTTGAAGGAATGTCCCCATCTTGTAGATGAGCTCCTCTTCTCTTGGTAAGGGGTCTAAGGCTGTCATTCCCTTGCTTGCCATTGCTCTGTGTGTGTGTGTGTGTGTGTGTGTGTGTGTGTGGCTTGAGTGGTTCTCCAAGCTCAGGTTTATGAATTCTGTGAAATCCTGCATTTTTTTGCAAGGTTGGCAAATTCACCCTGCTGCTGACATGCTGTACATTGCACTGTTATATTTGATGCTGGGGGGAAAACTGATTGACATGGGGATGTTATAGTTGTAGGGAGAGATGTCTGAGTTGAGACTAATTTGTAATCTGTCAGTTCACGGGGGCAGTGCTTCTCGAACTTCAAAGCATACGTGAATCAGTGAAGGAACTTAAAAAATACGGACTCTGATTCAGCAATAATGGGGTGAGACCCAAGATCCTACATCTCTAACCAGCCTCCAGGTGACGCCAATTTTTCCACCCTCCCTGGTCAGCAAGCCACACTTGGAGTAGCAAGGTGGATAGATGGTGCCTTTCCATGCTGGGTCCTTCCTCGGTCTTCTCCCTACAAGTGCTTGGACAACAAATACTTAGATGATGGGCCTGGATGGCCTGCTCTGCCCCAAGACTGCAAGGACAGAGGGGCAGAGGTTGAGTTACTTACTCCTGCTTCCCAGACCCATCTCGAATAGAAGCAGCTCTTGGGTCATGCCCTCAGACCTGGGCTACCCTTGAGAGGTTTATCATGAGAAATCTATTTTTAATAATAAAGTACTGAAGTTTCCCAATTATTTACTTAAAATATAAGATAAGGGTGGGGTACCTGGGTGGCTCAGTCGGTTAAGTGTTCAACTTTGGCTCAGGTCATGATCTTGTGGTTCATGGCCCTGCGTTGGGCTCTGTGCTGACAGCTTGAAGCCTGGAGCCTGCTTCGCATTCTGTCTCTCTCTCTCTCTCTCTCTCTTTGTCCCTCCCCTGCTTGCACTCTGTCTCTTTCTCTCTCAAAAATAAATAGTAATATATATATATATATACATATATATATATATATATCAATCATATATCATATATCATACCTATATGATAAGGGATATTCTGAGGTATTCATGTAATAAGGTCATCCTCACTGTCTTGCATTTCCAGAAGCTTCCTGGGTGAGAGAAAAGTATGTAGGCACAGCCATCAAGCTCAGGGTGCAGCCTTGGGAATGTGTCATTAGGCTACCAAGGTCGGGCTCTTGGTGTTACTCATTTGGTAGCAGCCATATCTCTTTTGGCTGTGGTCCTTTGCTGGAACACCCAGGGAAGAGATTTCTGTGTTTTCTGTGTAGGTAACATCTGTCCAGGGCCTTATGATTGTCACTCTTCAGGAAAATCATTAGTTCTCCCCTGGCCCCGTGTCTTCCCATTCCCAGTTGAGTTGAATGAGGATAGTCAGGATTATTAGCAACAGCAGTTCCGAGGGCTACCCACTCCCTCAGTCCCCCACAGAGGCTACAACCCAAATTCATTCCTAAGAAGGCAAGCCTAGAGCCCTGGGAAAGTAAGGGTTGGTATTCCTATTGCAGGCAGCCAGGCTCATTTGTCATTTGAGAAGCAATCCATGCCAAGGCAGCATTCAGTTTATAAGTAAATCAAACTGACAGGAGTCCAGAATGGACAGGTTGTGATTCTCTGAGTAATAGGATCTTGTAGTGATTCAATCTATGAGGACATCACCAAGACCGCCCTCGTTTACAGAATCTGTAACACTAAGAGCAGGTGAACACCTCCATGCTCTGAAGCCTGGCCTTCCACCTTGGTTCACTTCTGAGGATAGATTTCAATTGCTGGTTTAATCCTCAACACTGTGAAATATCCCTCCACTACATTATAAATACTTCACAGAATATCTCCTTTATTCTTTCTTATTAAGAACATGGGTAATGTGACTCCTATTGCCCCATGCTGTTTGTTAATTGTACAATGGACAAGATATACAGGGAGCCTCTTGGTTTCCTGGCCTCCTACCCATTTGTGTGGGTGCCATGTTGGCCTTGGTTGCCATATCCAGGACTGCTTGTTTTAAGGAACTTCTCTAGGACTTCCTGGGCTTCGTGTACCATAGTAATAGGTCAGGTTCAGTTACAGTTTCTCCCTCTACACTCTATTTCTCTTCCACTGAATGTCCCATTTTTATTTTTTTATTTTAATTTATTTATTCTTAAATGTTTTTTTTTTGAGAACAAGCATGAGTGGGGGAAGGCCAGAGGCAGAGGGAGAGAGAAAATCTCAAGCAGGCTCTGGGCTGACAGTGCAGAGCCTGACATGGGTCTCGATCCCACAAACCATGAGATCATGACCTGAGCCAAAATCAAGAGTTGAACGCTTAATCGACTGGTCCACTTAGGCGCCCCTGAATGTCCCTTTTTAATAAAGAAATTTTTGTTGAAGCTGAAGTGCAAACTAGAAATGCACATGAAAATGTTGAAATGTTGCTCTCTGTGACTGCACTATATTTTTTATATGCACGTTTTGCAACGTTATGCCCAAGTAAGAAACAGAAATGGCTGGATCTTTACAGACTGCCCATGTAACCAACCAGAGCTGGAGATTAGTGCTGTCGGTCAAAGTTGGTATAAGTCACCTTTGTCTCTCAGGACAGATGACTGTGCACGATGAACTTCTCTTACCTGGGATAATTTGCTTCTTCTTACAAAATCCTCATGGTTCGTGTACCCCAGTGAAAGCTCAGTGATGGGAGGGGGCTGGTCCTGAGAGCCAGGAGCCATGGCAGGTGACCACCGCAGTCTAACCCTGCATTAGACTGTGAGGGCTTCGCTGTTTGGCTTACTCATCTGTCTCTTCGCTTGGCAACTTTATTGATTTCTGTGATTATTTAGGACCAGATGGCTACATTTCTTGAGCAGTATTATTAGGTGTGTTTGGTGTAAGAAAAATGTGCTCAATAAATGTAAGAGTGGCCTGAAGTGAATTTACAACTAAGCTTCTATAAAGATGAGGTTCACTCTGCGAATAACTAGGCCT